ATATGGGAAGAGTTGTTGGAGAGATTTAGTACGGGAAACCTGCCCCGGCGCTATAAGATCCAACGTCAACTTACCGCTCTCAGTCAAGATTGATCGAGTGTTTCGACCTTCTATGCGAGGCTCAAAAGATTTTGGGACGACTGGTAGGGGTGGGCAATGGGTGGGTTGGATGCGTTTTGGTCTCAAATTGACCCACCCACTTACTAGCGGGTTGAAATAATTTTGACCCGCAATCCACCCACATACTTCTGCGGGTTGGGCTGGGTGGGTGGCGGTTGGGTTGCGGGTCAACCCGCAAAAGCAATTCTTCAACTAGCCATTAAGAAAGTTGACTAACATTTATAATAAGTTCAAAGCAAAATTAGTAAGACTGTATCATTAATTTGTGATTTTGATACAATTAATAATTTATAGTTTGCATCCCAATATTTTATGGTTATTAACAATAATCTACATACCAATATCCAATATCTAATGGATACTGCACAACACAATGATCAATAATAGTAGTCAAAACTATTATTTATTCTTCATATTTTGAAGTATATGGTCAAACTATAGTGCAGTTCGAAAATATAATGAATATTCGATACTATAAGAAACAACATTTTTTCATGTAAAAATAGGATGCGGGTCATATGGGTGACCCGGAATCCACCCACCATCCACCCACATAAGTGCAGGTGGGAGATTTACCAATCCGCAATCCACCCACATCAATCACCCACTACGTGCGGATCGGGTTATTTGCGGGTGGATCGATAGCAATCCGCGGATTAACCACCCACGTGCCCACCCCTAACGACTGGTTGTCCCTAGATCCTCCTGTGAAGTGTAGTTGTGGCAATTGTACGTGCAATGTTGAGCATCGAACAAGGGAGTCTAATGAATCAATGAAGCTTCTCGACTTTCTCGTAGGGTTGGATGAGAACTTTGCAACAGTCCACACTCAACTCTTACCGCACGTCGAAGCGGCTGCTTTTCAAGGTTAGGGGGAGAGGTTGTCACTTGAAGAGCGTACTCAGGATGGTAGGCCAAGATGCACTCACTGTGGAAAAGTGGGTCACTTCAAGTCAACATGTTACGACATTGTGGGATAGCCATCAAAATCAGGAGAAGGAGGAGAGCGGTTGAAGCGCCGCAACGAGTCACGACCAGCGCGGAATTAGCCATAGGCAGCTGCGGTTGAAAGCTCAGAGCTGGTCATTCCAGGCTTAACGCCAGAGCAGGTGGCCCAACTTAAGGCTTTCCTCAATTTTGATTCATGGAGTTTGAGCCCTCCTACTTCCTCGCAACCAAAGGCGAACATGCCAGGTAATCTTTCGTCTGATTTATCCTCTGCATGGGTTATTAATTCCGGATGCAATGAGCATATCGCAAAGGATAACATGTTGTTTGATGGCGAGTTTGATACCAACTCAAATTTACAGGTCAAAGTACCCAATAGGAAGGGTATTCCAGTTCGTGGAGTATGAGTTTCTATGATTATGAATGGCTTAACTCTTCGTCATGTCCTACACGTGCCTGAATTCCAATGCAACCTCTTGCCAGTCATTCGTCTCATGGCCGATCATTCTGTTGCCGTGATTTTTCTGAATAATTTCTTAGTGATACAGGACTTAAAATCCAGAGAGATGATTGGGATGGGTAAGCACGTAGATGGACTCTATTATCTTTGAGTGTTCAAGGAAGGGCATCCAGTAGCTTTTTCGTCCAAACAAGCAGTCAAGGATTCCCAAGTGTGCCACTCGCATCTCGGTCATCCGTCGGCAGCAAAATTTTCAGCTTTACAACCCCATATTTTCAGTACTTTAGTCATTGCTAAGGAACATGTTTATCGTGTCTACGAGCTAAGCAAACACTGTTACCTTTTGTTCTAATTACTATAAAGACACAGTCATGTTTTGAGCTTATTCACAATGATATACGGGGAGGATATGATCAAGTTTTATTTTCTGGTGCACATTTCTTTCTCACCATTATAGATGATTTCAGTCGAATTGTATGTGGGTAATTTTTGAAACAAAAGTCAAAGGCAGCTCAGTACTTAATTATGTTTTGTAATCAAACTCGCACACAGTATGACGGTCAGGTCAAACGCATCCAAAGTGACAATGGACGCGAGTTTACTATGGCTGAATTAAGTGACTATTATGAAAAGAAGGGTATCATCTTGCAAAAGTCATGCGCGGATACTCCTCAATAGAATGGGGTCGTTGAACGAAAGCACCGCCACTTGTTGGACACAGCCCGAGCCCTACGGTTTCACGCTGGTCTACCGCTTCAGTAATGGGGAGAATGTGTCTTGACGGTGGTGTATCTCATCAACAGAATGCCTCTCACGCCTATTCAAAACCGTATGCCATACGAAGTTCTTCTCGGAAAGGTACCTAGCTATGATCTTCTTTGTATGTTTGGTTGTCTTGTATATGCCAAGGATACCCACTTGCACATGTCAAAGTTTGCGCCTCATGGGAAACCTGGCATTTTCATGGGCTATCTCGCCCAGCAGCGGGGCTACAGAGTTTACGACACGTGTTTTTCTTGGAAGATGTCTTTCCCTTCCAAAGCGTGGATCCTACACCGAGTTCACAGCCCCTCCAGTCCTCACCTTCGTGTTTATATGATGATGATGATGAAGGAGGTGATAATCCAAGTGATAGGGCTTTGCCGGACATGGTGCAAGAAGTAGCTGATCCCCTTGATTCATCAGAGGTGATTATTGCATTGGACACCAACGAATCTGGTCCATTCCATGAAGAGCCCAATGTCACGGCTTCTTCGTCCCTAGTGAGCTATTGAGCTCATCCACTAATCCTCTAGTCGCCATCCCTCCTGTTGTGGAAACGGATCCACCTCCCCATCCTGGCAAACGTCAAATCTAAAGGCCAGCTTACTTGGCAGATTATAATTTTGATTTACCTGACTTTCGTCCTCACGCTAGCAACGTTAAGTATCCTCTTAGCAACCATGTCACTTATGATCACCTGTTACCTGATCATAAAGCTTTCCTTGCACAAGTTTCGGCCACTTTTGAGCCCACCTCCTTTCGCGAAGCTGTCCGATACAAACACTGGCGAGAGGCGATGAAAGCAGAAATCCCAGCGCTTGAAGCGAATGGTACATGGTCACTTGTTGTACCACCTCTTGGGAAACGCGTAGTTGCTTGCAAGTGGGTCTTCAAGATGAAATTCTAGCCCTATGGATCTGTGGAGCGATACAAAGCTCGTCTAGTAGCTAAAGGTTTCATTCATATATAAGGGATTGACTATCATGATACTTATGCTCCTGTTGCAAAGTTAGTCACTGTCCGGTGTTTGATAGCTCTTGTAGTGAGTCAAAATTGGTTTCTTGAACAGTTGGACGTCAACAATGCCTTTTTGCATGGGGATCTTCATAAGGAATTTTATATGCACATACCACAGGGTTTCACGCGTCGAGGTGACTCCCGTGTATGTCATCTGCATAAATCTATATATGGTCTTCGTCAGGCTTCACGAAATTGGTACCATAAACTGTCTAGTGCACTTCTTAGTTTTCGTTTTACCCAGAGTCGGGCCGACCATTCTCTGTTCATTTATCGATCTGGATTTAGTTTCGTTGCCGCATTGATTTATGTTGACGATATCATTTTAGCTGGAAATGATGCTCAGTTCATTCAAGATGTGAAAGACTTTCTTCATGCTAAGTTCACCATCAAGGACTTGGGGCGTTAAAATATTTTCTTGGCATCGAAGTAGCTCGCTCTAACAAGGGCATTGTTCTAAACCAGTGTAAGTACGGCGTGGACATACTCGCTGAAAGTGGATTGGAGGGCGCACGTCCTTGTGCAACCCCAATTGAGCAGAATCATCACATTTGTCGCCTCCCGTCTGAGCCAGCTATTGATCCGTCCAGTTATCATCGTCTTATGGGTCGTCTTCTTATCTAACGGTGATTCGTCCCGATATCCAGTATGCAGTCAACATACTTAGTCAAGCTGTCCATGCGCCCACTCCAGCGCACGTCTATGAAGCAATCGCCAGGTCGTGGTCTTTTTTCCCAGCTTCTGGTTCTCTCACTCTTACTGGCTACTGCGATGCCGACTGGGCCGGTTGCCCTGTTTCACGTCGTTCTACCAATGGTTACTGTATACGTCTTAATGGTGCACCAATTTCTTGGCGTACCAAGAAATAGTCTATAGTGGTGCGTTCTTCTGCTGAAGCCGATTACCGAGCAATGGCTACTATCGTTAGTGAGCTTATATGGCTCTGATGGTTGATGACAGAGCTTGGTAATCCTTGCTGAGCCCACTCCTCTTTATTGCGATAATCAGACTGCCCTCCATATCTCGGCTAATCCTGTCTTGCATGAGCGCACCAAACATGTCGAAATGGATTGCAACTTCATTTGGGAACACGTTCTTGCTGGCGATATATCTCCTTGTAAGATTACGACGTCTGAACAACCTGCCGATCTATTCACCAAGGGTTTTGTAGACACCACATTTTGTCCGGGAGAATTACTCAACTTTAAACTCAATGACGATAAATTAAATAGGACGCTTGGAAAGGATTGATTGAGATTGCAGTGGCAAGTCAATAAATATCAATGGACAATGATTTCTAAGTTCACTTCAATTTACTTATAATATCGATTTGGTCGAGACTAGCAGTGGCGAGTCAATAAAGACCAATTATCACCACAAGTTCGCTCCTATTTGATCATAGGATTGATTTATTTGAGATGGACTGCAACAATCGCTCGTAGTTGATTTCTCATTATAATGATTTAAGGGTTTGACGTTGGGATTTAATGGGTAGAATTATAAAGGCTTGTCATTTTGGATTTAACAAGGTAAGGTTTGGTCGAGTTCATAGTTGGGTTTGGTTAATAATTGATAAAGTAGAAGATCAAATTGAATAAGTATAACATGTGAGCTTTATTAACAAAATGTTACATTGTACATTGATGAAATAAAAAATCTTAAACAATATTAAATGGGCTCTTACACACAATGTCTCACAGATACAAAAATAAAACAAAATACGAATGACCCTAATCAAATGAAAACCCAATCATCGCCCATCAGTTGGAGACCCAGTCCAGCAACCTGCATAAAGAAATTAAGCATAATCAAATCCAAATTAAAACCCAATTCAAACCCATAATTTTCACCCATCCTTGGTCGATAAGGAGTCGGCCACCTCCCTTCAACTTATCCATATCCATTGGGAATGGATCAGGTGAGTAACCTTATGGTGAGTAACCATGAGTAACCCGTCCACATCAGCATGACATCAGTATCCTCTCTCTCATTGAAAGCCTTTAATTTTTCCCTCTTTAATCTTTTACGGACGATTTCTCGCTCATTTTAAGTCGAAATTTAATTTTTTTTTGCACAGTTAGATCAGATTAATTGTGCTCTTCAAAATGATATTCACTTTAATATATTTTTCGAACAAAAAAAATTGAGCCATTTTTTACCAGCCTATACCATATGGTATTGACTGGTATTGAAACAAAAGCATACCTATGTTTTGAAAAACGTACCATGGTGGTATGAACAAACCAATACTGTAGGATGGTTGAATACATGATAGTAGAAGTATATTAATTGTAATTTACGACTTTTAACATTGTATACCACACAATACCACCCCGTACCAGGGTGGTATTGTATGGTATTGTGTGCTATTTTTTGGTCCTGTAATTTGTTCACCCAGAAATTTGTAGATCCAATAGATCATGATGAACTCGTCCCTTCTGTGCAAACGTTTTCAAAAACGAATTAAAAACGAAGAAGATACCATACAATACCACCCCGTACCAGGGTGGTATTGTATGGTATTGTGTGGTATTTTTTGGTCCTGTAATTTGTTCACCAAGAAATTTGTAGATCCAGTAGATCATGATGAACTCATCCTTGCTGTGCAAACGTTTTCAAAAACGAATTAAAAACGAAGAAGATACCATATGGTATGCAGTTGGTACCGAGAGGCCAGAATTTTTTTTCCTAAAAAAATATTGAAAATTGATCTCATTTTGTAGAGCACGGTGAACTCGTTCCATCTGTGCAAAAAAAATTAAAATCCGAGTTAAAACGAAAAAGATATGAGTCAATTAAGAAAGCTAGTGAAAATAAAAATAGTCTTTAATTCTCCATCCTTAGATCTGGATTTTCTAAATGAAGGGTCCAGATTTGGTTATTGATGGGTGCATAACCCATGGTTATGCACCCTATCTTGAGCCATATCCATTCCCAAGGGGGGGGGGGGCGACCATTTTTGGGAGAAATATATAGAGAGTGATAAGGAGGGCTAGTTATCGGAGAGGATCTGAAAGTGATTGGGAGGTCAGTGATAAAGGAAAACTGAGGGAGGGAGAGACCAAAAATAAGGCAGTAAATCTGAGTTCTCAAGAGAAGGAAGCAAGAAAGCAGACATCTAGGAGCTATATCAAACAACAGAAACCAGGTTGGTCTTCTGCCTTTTGTTCTTATTGCCATCTCAATCAAGTTAACATATTCAATATCCATACATCCACACAAGTTTTTCTCGAGTAAACCATTAAAAAGTAGATTGATGTCTACAAATATGTATGTGAATATGCATCAAGTATGTTTACTGTCTTTCTAAAATTATCTCCGCTACCTAACCATAGATGAATAAACACAAGAAGTTTAGTTTACCTACTTGTTTAAGCTTATTTATTCATGTCTATTAAAGCATACATGTCATTAGATCAGATCTTTTAATACTTTCTAGCAAATGTTGAATCGTTATTTGATCTAGTGCAATAGCTATTCAGGCTAATATGCTCGCAAGTCACACCCGATTGTGAAGATTTTACTAAAACATTAGCTTTCTTTTAGTTATATAGATCACAAGCAGTGGCTATGATCATCAAAAATTAGTCTAGCTTTTTAAATTTTCTCGTTATCAAGCATAAAAGCTAATCCAACAAAAGCCACAACCTCACAATCCATCTAAGTTTAATAAACACGTACCCGGTTTCAAAAATCAAAACTACTAGCAAAATCACCAGCAGTGGCTGCGATTAGTGCAAAATCAACACCTATTTATAAACCCATCCACTTTTCAAATATCATAACTCCTAACAAGATCACTTGCAGTGGCTGTGATTAGTGCAAAATCAGTACCCATTCTGATTACTTTTCCAATAGAAACCTGATTTTAAAGTTAAGGTTACCAAGAACACACAAGCCACTACACACCCTAAAACTGAGATTTACCAACTGAACACACCTAGGTAGAGAGAAGGTTTTACCTGCCGGTACTACCCATTATGACGTCGGACTCTTTGTCTCCGACAAGACCTCGTCGGCGTTCTTTTTTTCCATAACCGAAACCTGAAACCAAAACCCATAAGAAAACAAAGAGAAATGTGTTAGAACCCGAAATCAACAAATAATACCCAAATAAAAACATGCAAGCTCTCAATCATCACTTACCGTAGTCGTAAGATTGCCGTCTTTACCTCCATCCTGAGACGAATCCACCGATTTAGGGTCGTCGCGGTCCGGTTCCTTATCTCGCGCCGAGAGAGGAGAGGCAGATCAGAATAGGACAGGGGTCCTTGGCCGGTTTTGGTTGTTTTCTAGGTAGAGAGTTGAAGAGCGAGATTGCTAAAGGGAAGAATGGGGTGTTGTGGGATTTCGTTTGCTCGAGGGTTGGAGAAGGAAGAACCATAGGGTTTTTTTTCTTTCTTCAAGCTTTGGTTTGTCTATGGCCGGCGAGAAGAGAAGTGGAAGAACGAGAGAGAGTGGGAGGCGGTTGTTTTGGGACGAGGAGGTGCGGCGGTTTGGGACGAGAAACCAGATGGTTTCTGGTTCGGCGGAGAAGCAAACGAAAGGGAAGTAGAGAGGAAAAATCGAGAGAGAGTGAGAGGCGGCTGTTTTGTGTCGTCTAGGGCGCTCAAGATAGGGTGCATATATGCACCCATCAATAACCAAATCTGGACCCTTCATTTAGAAAATTCAGATATAAGGATGGAGAATTAAAGACCATTTTTATTTTCACTAGTTTTCTTAATTGACTCATATCTTTTTTGTTTTAACTCGGATTTTAATTTTTTTTGCACAGATGGAACGAGTTCATCGTGCTCTACAAAATGAGATCAATTTTCAATATTTTTTGAGGAAAAAAAATTTTGGCCTTTCGGTACCAACTGCATACCATATGGTATTTTCTTCGTTTTTCATTCGTTTTTGAAAACGTTTGCATAGCAGGGACGAGTTCATCATGATCTATTTGATCTACAAATTTCTGGGTGAACAAATTACAAGACCAAAAAATACCACACAATACCATACAATACCACCCTGGTACGGGGTGGTATTTTATGGTATACAATGTTAAAAGTCCTAAATGACAATTAATATACTTCTACTATCATGTATTCAATCATCCTACAGTCTTGGTTTGTGTCATACCACCATGGTACGCTTTTCAAACCATAGGTATGCTCTTATTTCAATACCAGTCAATACCATATGGTATAGACTGGTATAAAATGACTCAATTTTTTTTTGTTCGAAAAATATATCAAAGTGGATATCATTTTGAAGAGCACAATTAATCTGATCTAACTGTGCAAAAAAAAATTAAATTTCGACTTAAAACGAGTGAAAAAACGTCCGTCAAAGATTAAGGAGGGGAAAATTAAAGGCTTTCCAGGAGAGAGAGGATGCTGATGTCATGCTAATGTGGGCGGGTTACTCATAGTTACTCACCATAAGTAGGGCTGTCCATTTGGTTTTGGTTTTTTGGTTTTAACCGAAACCAAACCAATTGGAAAGCTAATGGTTTCAGTTTTTTGGTTTTAAACCAATAAGCAACTTAATGGTTTTGGTTTGGTTAAAACCGAAAAACCAATAGAAACCATTAAGAAACCAATAAGAATGAAATTATTTATCAACAAATTTTTTTTTTGTTTCTTTTGAGCCAACCAATAACTTGTAATGGCCATTTATCATTATTATGACGTTAATTCAATAAAAAGAAGGGAAATATGAATAAATATGAGTGTATGAGTAAATGTTGGTTTTTTGGTTAACCAAAACCATTAAGGCCCTTATTGGTTTTTGGCAACCAAAAACCAATAAGAGCCTTAATGGTTTTGGTTTTGGTTTTTGGGATTTGGTTTTTGGTTTTTGGTTTTTCATACTTAATGGTTTGGTTAACCAAACCAAACCAAATTGACAGCCCTAACCATAAGGTTACTGAACTGATCCATTCCCCGTCTAGGGTTTCTATAAAGGAAACTTATACTGGACTCGCTAAAGACTAAAATGCCCTCCTCTAGTCTGTTAAAAAAAAAACGAAAAACAAAGGTATAGTGAGTGGGCGTCAAACCCGCCACCTTTTCGTGCACAAGTCAAGTCCAGTGAGTTAACCAGTCGAGTTGTTGGCTCATCATGCGTTAATATAATCATCCCTTTTAATTCTATTCGTTTAACATCCTTAATACGAAATGCTAAGCGTGGATTAAGTTTTTCTTGTTTCTTTTTTAATACGTCATAATACCTTAATAGCTAAAATTCCCGTGTTATCTTTTTATAACTTAAAAATAATCAATTTAAATTTTATTAACAAAATTTTTAATACAAAAACCACGATCAGTGGGACGTGGTAAAAATTAGATTCAAAATTATCAAAGTCACGTAACGAACTACATGGACTTTGATCCCGTGTTACGGGTACGTAGGCAACCGATAAGGGTCGAGTCCAACTAATCAACTAACTTTTTCTTTAAATTTTTACGTCAGTGGGCGTATAATTAAATTACAACTAATACGATAAAATCATTAAATGGTCCAGTGGGACCCTAAAATTACAAAATTATTACCAATATAATACCCAACACACATAAAACTTATCGACTTAAGTAGTACCGATTTAGGGCGTTGTGGGGTGTGATTTCACTTCCCACACGTAAACGTACTCCCGAACCCGAATCTCTTAACCGCAGACCATATCTCGGTTCTGACCCTAAGGTTAGAGCCGATTCGAAGAGTTTTCGATCCACTCCAAGGAAGATCGATGGCGACTCCCAAAAAATGCTAACACGACGACCTCGGAACCCCGGAGGGACGGTTGCGACAGGTTTATGATGCGATCATTTTTTAGGATTGTTGGTCAAACTCGGCATGCTTGACATTCACGCCTTCGCTTGAGAGGTAGTGTAGAAGTCTCGTGTCCGTGTGTCTTACGGAGCACGACATCGTGTTGTAGCTGTGTTAAGTACAGGTGTCTTGTAAGCCACACGTTTCCTTCTCCTGTCACTAAAGGATACGTAGGCCTAGTTGTGTTAGGGTTTCAACGCAAGTTACCCATATATATATATATATGGTAATGACTGGTGTACGTCAGGCGTATATTATACATCAGGTGATCTAGCCGTTAGATGTACTTAGATGAGCTCCGGCCGATATCAACGATCAATTTTTGTTTTTTATTAAATCAAACTTCGAGGTGGGGTTTAGAAAATCGGTGCCTGGGGTTTATCCATTAGAGGTTAGGGTATAGTATCATACCCCAAACTTGATTTAATTCATGGTCTAGATATATATATCTCACTAGTAGTACCTGATGTATAGTATACGCCTGACGTACGCCAGTATGACATATATATAGAAAGATCGATTCTTTGCGACCCTTCCTCGTTGATTTTCATTTTTAAGATTAAACGAATCTCGTGCTTTGGGTTAGTGAATTGGGGACTGGGATTCACCCATTAGGGGTTAGGGTATAGTATCATGTCCCAAACTCCGATTAATTCTTTGTCTAAATAGTCAAACTCAATGGGGCGTACGGTAGGCTAGCGTACGCCCGGACGTACGCTAGCCTTTGCCATATATATATATATATATATATATATATATATATATATATATATATATATGGGTGGCTACTTCGGTGCACTCACTTTTTTGGGTGCACTCAGTGCACCCAACTCTAAAAGCGTCCATAATACATCAAATTTTGAACTTTAATTAGTACTCTCAATATAATATGATGATATGACATAGAATCATAACAAATCAATCCATTACCCTAACCCCTTAACCTTCAATTTTGAATCCCAACCCAAAATCCCAAATTGTAAACCTAAACCCTAACCCTAAATCCCTAAATCCTAAATCCTTCAAATTAAAGTAAATTTTGAATGAATTTTTTTCAAATTCATGTGCTTCTTGTTCATAATATCATAAGCAACAATTGATACCGTTTTGACATGAATCGCATGGTCAGAATGACAATTATGAGGCGGGTGCACTCAGTGCACCCGAAAAAGTGGGTGCACCAAATACGCCACCATATATATATATCTTAGCTGCGAGTCCCTGTTAGCAGCAAGATAGTCAGTTGATCAATAATAAGATCGTCAAATTGAGAGCTCATTCGAGCTCTCCGTAAATTAATCCTATTCACATCGAACAGGGATACCACGTAAATCCTGCTTCTGTGTTATTACTATTCCGTATTCATTTTCTTCATATTACTTTATTAATTTGATCTGTTCATCGTCATCACGCAGTGGCGTAGCCAGAATTTTATGTAAGGGTGTGCAAGAAAATAATTTTTGAACAATAACTCATGATGCGATCACTTGTTTGATATAATAAAATTATTTTAAAACTACATAATTGTCCAAACTACGAAGATTTGCTCTTAATATTATCCCACCAAATAATCATTCACAAATTTTTCAATTAAGTCGAAGGCTGGTCAATCGTTTCATTGCAGAAAACTTTATATCGATATGTATTTTTTGGTGTTGATAATATCAACATGTATATTTACAAAAGGTAGTAGCAAATTAAACCAAGTTTCACAAGCAAATATATTGATGAGAACCAATTTTCTCTTCCGACTATCGTTGGCATAAGAAGTTCAATGATTTCCTCTAATAATTTGCACCCTCTTATTCATTTTGATAAATTAGACTATATTAATATAGAAATTCGTAGGTAGAATTAATTTATATAATTGATTGGGATTGAATTGTAAAAAATTTACCATTGACATTGAGATTTGGGGTTCAAATTTCATTATGAGTAATATTTACTCAACTAAGTTTTGGAAGTGTTCCCCTAAATCAAGGGTGTGCCATGGCACCTCCTTCCAACCTTGTAGCTCCGCCCCTGTCATCACGTCTAATGACAGAAGTCAACTATTGACCACCAAAGTATGAACACAACCTGATACATATATAATGCATTATTATAATTAGTTAATTACCCGCTCAAGGATTTGCGCATTATTATAAATTTATAATATAGTCTTCCGTTTTCGCGTTTTTCAACGTGCTACGCTGCTTGTCTTCACGTCTAATTAGAGGCAGAACTGATCATTAAAATACCCACTGAAATACATTATCGCCAATTGCTAGATGATCAAGTTGCACAATTATTGCTTGACGAAGCGAAAGTGAACCATAACATAATATGTCGATTGAGAAACAACTGGCCGGTTGACCACCTGGTTTTCTCATTCCCAATCATATTGTTTCCATAGGTTGAATTGAAATAACGTTCGCAGTGCAGAAAATGTAAAATAAGTGCAACGAGGAA